TGATTTTCGAAAAAAATACCAAAAAAATCAAATCTGCTGTTCTGTATTGCTTATCCAAAATTCGTAAATCTCCATCAGAAACCTTTTAACACAAGCTCTGCACAGATGGAAAGGGTAGACCAAAAGACTTACTATACTGCTTGCCCGGAATTTGCATCGCAAGTTTCAGATTTTTAGCATCTTAACTCAAAATGAGAGAAGCTGCAGTGATCTTATTCTCCTTTCCATCTCAAAGGTCATTCCTTGTTGGAAAGCATCAAAGAAAGAGGTGTCTTATGTCTAGCAAATTTTTTTTTGTGCTAATCCACTGGAGGCCAAGAAAATGCAATTTTTCAAAAATGATGCAAGATGACTTTTGCACAAACCCAATACCAATATCATGAATTACAGTTGGTTTTGTGAAGGTAAGTATGGATCTTCTTTATAGCACCTACTAATACGTATGAAGGGAAAGCTCGTTCTTGACCAATTCGCATTGATGGATCTACTTGAAAAGTCTTCTAGGGCACTTCCCAAATTTTATTGAGGTCTATGACTCCATCTTGAGGGCTACAGGAGCAAAAGTTCTGGTTACAAAAATATTGAAAAGAGAAAAAATAGAACAACAGGGAAACAAAAAAAAACAAACGAAAATCATATTGTACTAGGGGAGGGGCGATAGTCTCAGAAAATTACGTTGCAAAACTATCAGCTAGTTTCGTAGTTTACCATGAGGTGTTACTAGTGGAAGTTGCTAGTCTCCTATAACGCTGAGCGTTTATGATTTCACAACTCTGACAAAAAAGAACTCGTTGCGCCAATTGTGATGTTTCTTGGTATTACAAGAGGAAAATGTTGTCAGGAACTGCTTAAGTTCATATTCCCTATCCATTCAAATATGAGGGCACCTATCAATTTTCGCGGTGAACAATAATTCATTTCCAATCATCTTATAATATGTTGTATTTTCATTTTAAAAATAGATGACCGTGATTTATCCCAACATGTGTCAGAGATCACAGTGAACTTGAACATTTACTTCAAATATATCTGTTATCTGTTATCTTTGCAGCAATTATTCACGTCTGGGCTAGCTTTGATAGCATTTCTCGTCTGTGGAGGTGTGGAGACATGGTACGCAACAGGATTCGATCATATGTCGTTTTTCATCATGGTGCGTACTATGAACGGTTGATCAATGCTTGATTCGCGCATCGGTAATCTGATTTTTGATTTCGGAGAATTTAGGCTATTGGTAATGGTGTGGTCTCTGGCTGCGCAGGATTACCTGGCTGTCAAATTCAATTCGTCGTCAAGGGCTGGGCCGTTGCTGCTGTGAGTTTCTACTGACTCTTTCTGAGGGAAACATTGGCTTGAAATAAACTTTTTAGGCATTTTACTTCTTGGGCGGATTGCTTTACCTGATCGATATGGGATTAGTGTTTGCTAAAAAAGACAAGTGAGTTCTGCTGCATACTTCTGGGTTGGGCTTCTTCTCTAGCATTAACCTATCGCTTTGGCTGCGGCACATGGGTGGCATTGTTCAAATAATGAGATATTTTATAGGGAATCGGAAATGAATCAACTTCTGATAACTTGCCTTTAAAAAGGATGATAGAAAAAAAACATGCTAGCTTTAGGTATGATAATCCACTTTTGTCAAGAAATTTTTGAGTGGATGTCTAACTTCTGTTTGTAATTATATTTGAGAAAGTGCAAATTTATCAGGAGAAGCTCTTTTGTATGCTTTGCTTCAAGTGAAGATGATTGGGCTTTGATAAAGTGATAAGCTTGAATCTTGCACCATGTTAACAAATAAAGTTTTTGCGAAAGCATGAATGGAGAAGGTTAAGACAAAAATTCCTTTTTACAAGCTGTGGTAAAAAATTTATCCAGATAGAGAGGGGATGTAATCAATCCAACAGAGTTTGTAGTTCACGGATCAGTGGCGGTCAGAAATTTTTTAGGTGTGGGGGAAGAGGGCGCGACAGAACTTCAACGAATTTTTTCAGCCATCTCTGAAATACTGAAAACGGGAGGCGTGGCAGCCACTCTGAAGAAATTTTACCGCTTTCAAACACTATTTCGATTAACAGGCAACAGCGTGCTATTTGCTAGTTTTTATAGCTCACGTGATC